TCGACTTGTTGGATACGTAAAGTCGACATCCACGTAGACTTATTAAATCCGTACCGGCTATCGCTCCGTCGACTCGTTGGATTCGTAGAGTCGACACTCGCGGAGACGTGTCGGATTCGTAAAGCCTACATCCTTGCTTACCGCTCCGTCGTCTTATTGGATTCGTAAGGTCGACCTCCGCGAAGCCGCGCCACTGGCCCGGGGAAACCGATTCCCGCGGCACCGCATCGTAGCGCACAACTGCACCGCAAAAATCCGACGCATCGCGTAAGCAGGGCCGTGTTAGGGTGAAGTCCCATGGAGGCAGCGTACGGCGTACCGGCGTATGGCGTACAGGAACTAGACCAATCACAGGCTTTACGCCCGTTTCGTTACGCCAGCACGGATGTTACGCTGACTTTTGTAGCGTTCCAACGTTACGTTACACATGTACACACATATAGTTAAGATACATGTTCCTAACCTAAATAAAAGAGTTACATTATTAAAAGCAACACATAATTTAAAATAGTTTTTAAATACAATTTTAAAATGAATAAAAACCAGTCAGGTTGTTTCTTAGTAAGTATCAGTTTATAAAATTTTTCATACAGCGTGACATATAAACACAGAGTTAAAAGAAAACAAAATAAAAAACACATTTATAAATTAGAATTAATTCTTTTTTGGTTTTTTAGGATAATATCTTTATCTTTATTCTGAAAATTGATGTGGGAGCTTTTCAACTACGGACACTGTGTTACACAAAAGCATTCTATTGACTGTATATTACCTAACAAGATATTTTCGAGAATTTACAGTCAATAGAATGCTTTTGGGTAATACAGTGTCCGCAGTTGGAAAGCTTCCATTATCACCCTTTGTCTGGTAAATACACTTTAGGAAGTATATTAATTACAAAAAATTTTTGTTTAGAACATAAAATGTGGTTATTGCGGCTCAATACTAACCGTCGACACACAAGAACAAATTTTGTGTCACAATTGTTTTCAAAAGTATGATGAAGAGAGACATGCTATATCTATAAACGAAGACTTTGTTGCAATTATTGGTAAATGTTGTAGTAATAATTCTTGTTGTAATACTTTATCTTCTTTAAAACATCCATTATATCACATACATAGGTTTACGATGTTAAATTTAATATGCAACTAATTGTATTTTTACAGTTGAAGCCAGCAATGAAATAGTATCAGAGGACACTAGCAATGAACAGTACTCAACAGATCACCGTGATGAGATGCTAATTAACATTGTACAAACAAAACCAGCATTATGGAATTTCCAAATTCCACTTAGGGAACGGACAAAGGCGAAAAAGAAAGCGCTGTGGAAGGAGGTTGAAAATATGTTAGGAGGTTTGTATAAATATATACAAAATATTAAATAAATAAGTAAAAAGTTTGCTAAGTACAAGCTACAATCTATTTTATGAATAGTTAATTTTGTTTATGGTTACAGGGCTCTTGACTATGGATGATGCAATGAAAAGGTGGAAATATCTAAGAGACTGTTATGTGCGTTACAAACGGCAAATAAACACGTATGTTCCAAGTGGATCTGTTAAATAATTACAATAAAATAAATAATTACAAAATTTTTCTTTGTCTTCGAAAATCATTTCTTGTATTAGATTGTTGCTATCCCCTTGCGCTAATCGTCTTTCGACATTAAAAATTGTTCTAACCCAAAACCTGCGAACATTGCGTCTTGTACAATATCTCTTTTTCTCTTCAGCTCGCATTAATTCGTAGATAACGTATATTTGAATTAATTTTTCTCGAATAGCCTCTTTACATAAATTACTTTCCGGACATTTATAAATTTTTAAATATTTTATTAAATTCATTAAAGCAAACTCAGAGTCCAACATTTTGATAAAGTTATGCACATTTGTTTTGACTTCTTTTATGAATGTATGTGTTAAAACATTACGCTGAAATTTCCATCGAGAGTCCCATGGGGCGTATTTACGCCGGCGTAATGATCAATAAGCCAATCACAAGCTCGCTTGAATATTCATTTTTAAAATGAGTTTTAAAAGAGACATTGCGATTGGCTTGTTAATCTTTACGCCGCGTAAATACGCTCCATGGGACACACGATGTTTGTGCTGGCGTAACGAAACGGGCGTAAAGCCTGTGATTGGCCTAGTTTCTTTACGCCATACGCCGGTACGCCGTACGCTGCCTCCATGGGACTTCACCCTTAGTCATCAAGTAACGGCTCTCCTCGCGCGACCAAAATTAAAGATCCAAACGTCAACATCGCGCCGCAAGCACAACACGATCGATGCGTCACACGACCGCCCACGGTCCCGCAGCCCGAGCTCCGCCGCAGCGGACATCAACACGCGCGAACACAAAAGCCCGCGCGCGAAGCCAACGGCGTCGACTCAACCTGTACATACTCATTGTAAATAGCCATCTAATCGACAATATATATTGTTATAATATCCATCCCACTGTCTTCACGATTATTGACATCTGCTCGAATCCGGACCACACCGACTCGCAGCTTATCCCGCACCGAACGCGAAATAGCGTTATATAATTATTCTTATTTAGCATAGATATATAGCACTATAACTGTTGTGCTTGAACTCCTATTAGCCTTTTTTTTATAATTAATTTTGATTTATATTTGGAGTTTTTTTTCTACTTTAAGAATTTTGTTAACGCGGGCTGTAAACATGTGTTATAGACACGTTTATTTTTTTAAATTTCTACATTTTATCTCATTATATTTTGGTCATATTTTGTCTAAACGTCTCAAGTATCTTAATAACTTGGAGATTTCAAAGTTATTGTACAGAATATATTTCTACGAAATTGTATGAGGAATAATATTCTGCCTCCTCACCTTCAAAAAATGAAAGATTGCGCTATATTTTTGCATAGCGAAAAACTGCTCAGCGTTATCGAGCGTGCAAATAATATGTATATTAGGAAAATACTTAAAACCGAGATTAGAGACGGTTTTATACATATGCGTTTTCTTCGAACTCGTATTTTTCAAATCTCAAAATCATTAAATAGTTCTCTATCATATTTTTTGTGGCGTAGATTCTGCACATTATATTATGCGAGCATAGCTAATTAGCATAGCTAATTAAATAATCAGATTAGGCAATCGCTATTGCGGTTTATTTTGACGAATCTCGTTTTGTCTCCTTCTCTTGCACGTTCGGTGTTGCATACTTCGACGTTTGTATATATAAATCATTTATTGTGCTTATACCGAGACTTGGTAATATTACAGTTGACAATATCGTTTTGGCCTTGTGTTGGGTCGCTAAACTTTGTCCAAGGTAATTTATAATCGGTTATTCTATCTTATTTATTTTAGTTTTTAAATTATTACGCATTTTTTGTCTGTTATTTTTCTTGATTAAATTTCTTGGTTCTGTACAATGCTTGAGTTCTTGTGTATATGTATCATTAAAAAGGGTTCATGGATGAACCGAAACATTTGATAATTTATATATTTTTTGTACAATAAAGAGCTCGGCCAAGTCCCATCGGTGCATGTTCCCCAAAATAGAACGATTGAATTTGAGGTCAAATGGGATAAGAAGTTGTAGATCTGGACGAGTTGAAAACAAAATAGTGCTTTTTACGTTGCGCTGACACACCGTTCTCGAGATATCCGGTTCGGAAGCCCAGGTGGCTAATTATGGATTTTTTAATTTTAATTGCCACAGATGACTGCCAAATGGTTATTTCAAGTCCTAAAAATGTGATTAATAGCTTAAAATGAAGCTTAGTAGATTCCTTCAAAACAATTTAAAAGCATTTTTTATTTGCCAACTACAATGGCCGAATGGGGGCGATTCAAACACTAAGTACTTGAAAATTCATTTTTTCGTGGAAAAATTTTCACATTTTCAACTGATTTTCGACTTTTATCAATTGTTAAATTAATAATAGGAATATACACTATAATCTCCATAGTATTAGCTTTAAAATGAGCCATATATTATTAGAATCGAATAAGTTTTCGCTGAGATATCTGAGATGCACTTATGCCCGATTTCTTCACCTTCAGATAACTTGCAGATAACTTTATCCTTAAGATATCTCCCAAAATCGGTTTTCTTCACCTTTGTAAAGTGTTTATCCGGCAGATAAAATTATCCTCTACTTGAAGTAGCGGATATCTGGAAGATATTGATTTCAGTGCTTTGACATAACCTAAAACATTAAAAGAGTATGTAATCGTTGCTGTCTTCATGAAAAACAGTAATGGAGTTGCTCGTGGATATTAATATTTTTAACTGTGATGATGATGATGATAATGAATTTGTGGAAAGAAGACCATATATAATAAGGAATAAACCGAACAATTTTGAAGTGTGGGATGACAAAGAATTTTTCGATCGATTTCGTTTGAAAAAGGATACAGTACTAGAATTACTGCATGCAATTGAAGAGCGATTGTTAATACTCTGGAATAGGTATATATTTTGTTCAAATAATAGAGCTATAATAATAAAGTGAATTTATGAAATAATAATAATAGAGCTATAATAATAAAGTGAATTTATGAAATAATATTATTATTTAACGAATGGTTCGTAATTGATAATTTTTTATGTAAAAGGGTCAAGGTCATTGACACCAATTAACCAATTGTTATTAACTTTGAGATTTTATGCCACGGGCAATTTTCTGCGTGCCTGTGGTGATTTTAGTGGAGTAAGCATTAGTACTGCTTCTCGAGTTGTCGCAAAAGTATCCATGGCTATTGCTTCGTTATCAGCAGCAATGATTAATATGCCTCAATCTATTGAAGAAATTCGTACAACGCAACGGGCATTTTATGAAATGTATAAATTCCCAAGGGTAATTGGATGCATCGATGGAACACATATTAGAATACAATCTCCTGGTAAGTTACAACTATGTGAAATATAAATTATGGACTATAACAACAAATATAAATTATGTAAAGTGAAAATACTACACCCACACAGCACAAAACATCTCAGCAATGTCTTCAGAATATCTCAACAATATTATAAGTTGGTGACATAAGACATTGCACAGACATTTCTAAAATATCTCTGACATTATCTCTAGAATATTTAACATTTCAAATGTAATATTTTGGAGACATTGCTGAGATGTTTTGTGATGTGTGAGTACTTATCCCATACAGCAGAAAAAAATTACATAAACATTGTATAGACATTGCAAGATTTAGAATTTGTATTGACTTATTTTAAGCAATGATACTTATAACAAATATTTTCAGGAGGTGAACATGCAGAAGAGTTTAGAAATCGAAAAGGATTCTTTTCTCTTAATACCCAAGTTATTTGCGATAATAATATGAAAATTATAGACATTGTGAGTAGATGGCCGGGTTCTGTACATGATGCAACAATATTTCAACATAGTTGGGTGCACCGAAGATTAGAGGAAGGCGAGTTTCATTCGGGAATATTACTTGGCGATAGCGGATATCCGGTCAAGAAATATCTTCTCACTCCTCTTTTGCACCCAACTACTGCAGCCGAAAATCTTTATAACAATGCTCACATACATACGAGGAACATTGTTGAACGAGTCTTTGGTGTTTGGAAGTGTCGATTTCCAGTTTTAAGTTTAGGTATGAGACTGAAAATAGAGACTGTGCAAGATATTATCGTAGCTACAGCAGTTCTACACAACATAGTCAGAAATCACAATGAAGAAGAACCTCCTGCACTTGTGGATTTGCCTGACGAGGAAATTGGAAATAACGAGAATCATGTTGAAGTTCAAGTGGGAGACAATAATGTCAGACAAGTACTCATCAATGAGTATTTCTCAAGGTAAATATAATGACAAATTTAACGAAAGTATGAAATGTTTATATGTCAAACTATATATATTATACAAAACAATTTTTATAAC